CCTCACCTTCCGTGACGCCTTCCTATCTCAATTTTTGTCGATGAGGTTTATTGGTAACAGGCTTTGACCGGTCACGCTATTTACCAAACCAAAAGAAGTTGGTTCGCCTGGTTCTAAACACAACTCATCGTCACTGCTTTTTTTGAACCAACCGCACTCATTAGTCCCAGACACTATTTTCCCTTGAGACGCGGAAGGTAAGAGTTCACCGCCCACATCACAACCTGTTCGGTGTGTGTGTGTGTGTGCGTGTGTGTTCTTTCATGGTTTTGTCCTAATCTTGTCAATAATGCCAATGTGTTCACCGGACCGGTTGCATCGGATTCTCTCGATCTCTCCCTCTCCGGTGTGTTTTAATCCTCCTGTTTACCGACAGAGAAAGACGTGCCCCGCACGGATCGCAAATGCAGCTTCTTCCGGGATGATTCGAACCGCAATCTGACTCGTCTATACGATATCCTGTTAACCTATACCGTGTACAATATGGATTGTGGTAAGCATTTTGAAGTCCCTGCTCTTTTCGTTCTCTTCTACTCTCCTACTTTGCTGTTTGATACGGTACTGTACTTTATTTTCTATGGTGTTGTGAGGGAGGGGAGGGGGGTAAATCAGCGTATTTGCCAGTTATTTTGTGATTTATTTACCCTAGAACAAAGTACTACATATCCTGATTTTCTAGCTTTTGCAACCATGAACTATGCACAATTCGTGTCTCTTTTTTGGTTACTGTTTTCTGACTGTCCATTTCGCTGATTCAGTAGAAGGACGATACAAGTTCTGGACCGAGGACCAAGTTGAAACCAGAGAAATACATGTAGATTAAGGTTTTACTAGCGGGAAGGAGGTGATGTCCAGTTCATGGGATCACACACCGTCGAGGCGAGGTCAGAGTCCAAGGTAGCCAATACAAGTCAAGTCAAGTCAAGAATGAACTTTATTCATCCAATGTGGACAGAATTTTCAGTGAAAAAATGTTATTACTTTTACTTTGGCATTGCGTGCCATTATAAATGGGTTTAAAGATAAGACAAATCGATATCGCCTAAAAAATCAACAGCATTGAATCGCAGGCACAGTTTGAATATTTTTCGAACAACTGAAAATGCTGAAAGCAACCTCA